AGTTATTTTGAAAAATTATAGATTTTTAGTGCCCTGAAAGATCTTTGGCATATTTTTTTCTTGCATGATTAGTTATCTCTGATTCTCTGGTTGTTCAAGCATGCATATGAGAAAACACATATTGCCTCTATCAAGATGATGCCATGGACAAGAACTTTTTATTTATAATTTTTTTGCCTATACAAAATCAATTGTTTGCATTGCTTCTTTCTGCATGATTTACAAAATCTTTCCCAAAAGGGGACTCGGCAACTGTTTCAACCAAATAGTCTTGACATGTTATTTTGTTTTATGGTTTATTATAACGGGAGTAGCTGTTGTAGTTCTTGGAAGGAGACCTTTGTTATTGGGTGGTGTTTGCACTAATGTTGAAATCTTGAGTGCTGGAGACAAAAGTTTACTTCTCTTTTTTGAAGTTTGTGGGGCCATTCTGTTGAATCTTTGTTTTTGCTTGCTTGAGTTTAATTGTTCACTTGCTGCAAATAAATCAATCAAATCTGAGTTACAATTATTTGACTATAAGTACCAGTAAGGATTGAAAAACAATTTTTTATTATGAAATGTGTTCTTTGTCCGTGCAACAAGTTATTTCTTTATTCGTTCTTGGATTATATCACCTTCTCTTGGATGATATGTCGGCTATTGCTATTATTGTTGCACTGCTGTTATACGTTAGTTGTTATTAGGTAATCAATATTATCTGTCCTTTTTTCGTGTTAATTCTCCTTTACTATTTATGATTCTAATATATAACCATCTCATCTATGGTAGAACTCACCTATACCATCATCACTTTATGGGTAAGCACATGTTGTTTAGATTGAAATAATATTACATTCAGACCATACTTTTATGTGTAATTATTTCTATTTGGTTTGTCTTGAAGGTAATTCATTAAAATTGCAGTGAAAATTTACATCATAATAGTGTTTGACTCATTATTTTGTCGGCTTCTATTAATTAATGTATTGCAGCACATTTGTGACCATATTTTAGTGGCTTTTGTTTTTGTTGTGTTCTAACATAGGAATGCATAGCTATATTAATTACAATTTAAATCTAGCATTACTGTTTTGTAAGTCTATTTTTTTAATTCTTATTATCATGTTATATTATGTTAATGCTTATCTAATGCTGTTGTAAAGAACATTGCAGTTACCAAGATACACTAATAAGGAAAATTTTAATGAGTTATCTAAACTAGTAGGTTTATTTCTTCTTGCATGCTTCTGGTATTTTTATGGTTCTGTTGGGTTGATTATTTGATATGGGAAGCCATAATCTTTCTTGCCATTCAGCTAGGAAAACAATGGATACATGTGGCCTATGTTAGTATGTAGTTGCAAAAACGGGTAATATTTGTGTGTAAAATTCTTTTGTTAGTATGTAGTTGCAATTGTACTGAAACTTTTCCCCATTTCTCATAATAAAGCGTTATAAACTTTGGATTCGATTCTACATATTCTTGTTTTTGCGCCTATGCCTTATGAAATTTGCTTTACAGTTATCTTTTGGTCCTATTGGTTGGCTAATGATTTCGGAGGTTTTTCCGCTACGCCTCCGACGACGAGGACTTAGTATTGCTATGCTTGTGAATTTTGGAGCAAGTGCATTTGTAGCATTTGCATTCTCTCCTTTGAAAGTACTTAAGTGTTTCAACATATTACTCTATCAATCATAATTCCTTTGAAAGTTTTGTTATTTTCATCCCTTTTATGGATGCTATCCTCACTAAGATAGTGACAGGTCATGGAGATTATCTTCATAATTTCTATAATAATCACAATGTTGACTACTGTCAATGTCGGTGGGTGTCCAATTATAGCATTATGTTTATGATTATATCTTTGTAAGAATATGAATAATCATGGTTCTATTGGTCTTAGTCACTTTTATATATATATTTTTTAATTATATCATCGTATCGTGTTTAAAATTGATAAGTTTACTTATTTTTTTGTGCCTTGATTTTTTTTTTTTTACTAGCTGGAATGGTGTTTTTAAGTGCTTAGAGTGATAGCTGGATTGTCTCTCTTCTTTATATTTTTCATTGTACCAGAGACAAAAGGGCTAACTCTGGAGAAATTTGAGGCAAAATGCCTATAGTTTTGTTGCCCACCTATTAAACCCTGGAATGTTGACATAGAATATAACCATTTGCAAACAAAGTTGCATGTAAAAATAAAATAATTTTTTATTATTACAAAAATTAGTTTTTAATTTTTAAATTTCTTTTTTTTTTTCTTTAGAATCCAATCTACCTTTGTCACTTTTCCTCCCATCTTTCCAAATACTATGATTTTGTTAATATTTTTTTGACAAAAATTTGTTAAATCTAATCTAATATAAAAACTAGCTTACTACCAATGTGGTGCACAGATTATTTTTATTTTATTTAAATTTAAATAAAAATATAATTTAATATTATCAAATTATTAACATGTTCAAAATATATATAAAATATAAATAATATAATTAAAATATCAAATCATAATAAAAATAAAAATTTTAATTAACAAATTAATAAATTTTAAAATATATTATAAATAATATTGGAAGAAGAAAAAACATCCAAAAGATATTGTAAAAAATATTATTAATTATGCCAACAAAATATTAAAATAAAAACTAAAAGTTTTATCACTTCAAATGAACTTTATTCAATTTGCATCATTTTTAGTTTTTTTTTTAATTTTTGTATATTGTAAATTTATGTAATTTTAAGATAAGTTTTATTTATCTATGAGAAATAATGATTTTAAATGTTTAAACAATATATGTGATAATTTACTTTCTGTACTTTTTTTTGTAGGAGTTTCAATAATATCATAATTTTCAGCATCTATATGACTTTCTAAATCTTTATCCTTTTCAATTGTTTTGAGGTTGACATTTGATACAGAATTATGTTCTTATAAAAACTAAAATGAAATAGCTTTAAATTTTAAATAATATTATTAAATTATAAACAATTATTTACGAAAATTATTAGCAAAAAGTTTTAATAAAATGTATTAAACTACTTATCTTTTGTTTTTTTTTTTTTAAGTAAATATCTATTCTTCTCTGCATAAAGTATCTCGTGAATATGTGTATTGGTCAATTTTAAACTTTCATGAAAAAAGTTGTAATAATTGAGTTCTACTTCAAAAATATATGAACGACCTATCAATTCTTTCAATATTTTTTCAACTTTGGCATCTCCATTTTCTTATGAATAAGTTTTATATAAATTTAATTAAATAACATTGACATTCATATAAATTAAAAAAATTATTTTGAATATGATATAACTTTATTTTTCATTTGAAACAATTGTTTAGCTGTATACTCTAGAATTCAATGATAGTAGGACTTTTTGTTATTTTTTGATGATAGCAGGACTTTTTGCATCTTTACTGAATCCATCGTCCATTACAAAAATAAAAAAAAAAGAAATTTAACTTGATAAAACTTTAAAATTTTAAAAAGAATAATATTTTTACAAAAAAATAGCAAAGGAATTTGTATTCAATAACAAAAATTTGAAGAATAAAACATTTGTAGAGAAAGAAACAGTTTTACGACTTTTTTGATTAAAAAAATGAAATAAATCAAATTGGTATACAACTCTATGATATCAATTAATCAAAGCATTATTTTTATTTTAAACGAATGGGAAATATTGAATAAATAATTAATTAAAAGATAAAATATATTATCTGATTGAGTGAAGAATCTGTAAAAAAAATAAAAGGTCTGTAAACAACAACAAAAAAAATAAGAATATATGTGTTTTTGTAATTTTATATTTTGTAATATATAAAAAAAAGTCAAAATTAAATTAAGAGAGCTTATCTCAACAAAATAGAAAAGAAAAAATAAATCCACCTTAAATGGAAGAGCAGCAAAAGAGTAATGCTAAAGTCTGTGAGAAGATAAAATATTATTTGAAAAATAAGTTGAATGGATAGACGGTATAGAATCAAGCTATATAATTTTATTTAATCCATAAATATATTTAAATAATAATTTTTTTTATTTAATTATCTTATATTTAAATTGATTTTTCATTTAAATCTTAATAAACTTTAATTCATATATATTTAATTAGTAAATTTATCTATAGATAATATCTAATCAATAATAATATTTAAATTTTAGTATTTTATATCTTTATCTATAGTTTTTTTGATATTTTATATCTTAACTCTATTCATAATAAAGATCTTGAAAAATTTCTACTACTAACATTTTTATTTAAAAGATATGACAAAGTTTATAATCTAAATGGAGCTCTGATAAATAATTTTTCAAATATATCATAAATTTAAATCATAAAATATTTTTACAATTGTATAATTAAAAAGTGTATAAATTATTTATCAATTTTGTTTTAATTGCACATAAAAGACTTAAGAGACATTGTACCAAAAACAAAGAGGTTAACTCTAGAGGAAATTGAAGCAAAATGACTATAATTTTGTTGCTACCTATTAAACCCTTGAATGCTACATAGAATATAACCATTTGCAAACAAAGTTGAATGTAAAAATAAAATAAATTTTTATTATTACAAAAGTTAGTTTTTAATTTTTAATTTTGTTTCCTTTAGAATCCAATCTAGCTTTGTCACTTTCCTTCCATCTTCCAAATACTATGATTTTGTTAATATTTTTTGGCAAAATTTTGTTAAATCTAATCTAATATAAAAATGTTGCTTGAAAATTAATTATATGGATATAAAATTTTTAATTATTTTCTAATTAATAAATATTATGAACTCAACAATTCTTTATAAAAAATTTTAATCTTAAAATAAAGTTTCATTTAAATGAGTGATGAGATTAATTTTGATGAATTTAAAATAATAATAAAAATTATTATAATTACGATTGAAAGAAATTATTAAAATTATAATTGAAAAAAATTTTAATAAAAAATTTATATTGAATAAATTTTATTAAATTTAATATTTAAATTTAATTAATAATGTAATTAACAATGCAATGCTCGTAAGTTCTGTTACGGTGCGGTGGAAGGCCAAAACCAGTTTATTTCTGATAACAGCCAGCCCAAGAAATTTGGGTCAGGCACGCAGAAGTTTTAAGTTTCTATGTTATCTACTCATGATTTTCAATTCCCTCCCGTGGCACCAAACCAACCTTTGAAGTTGAACTGACTGAATTCCTTGCTTTCCCAGGAAACAAACACACTGAACAAATGGACTCCCTCAAGTTTACCTTCCTCTCCAGCACAAACCATCTCTACCCTTCATTTCCCCTTCCAAAACTACCCTCAAAAAAGCTCAAAATCCCCATACACTCCTCAATCCGCCGGGACCAATTTTCTCTCAGCGACGGCGACCCAGCAAAACCGAAACCCAAATCCAAAAACCCCAAAAACCCCCTCTCCGACGACAACGCGCGTCGAATCATAAAAAAGAAGGCCCAATATTTGAGCGCGTTGAGGCGTAACCAAGGGTCACGAGCCATGACTCCGAAATGGATAAAGAGAACCCCTGAGCAGATGGTGAAGTATTTGGAAGATGAGAGGAATGGGGAGTTGTATGGAAAGCATGTCGTGGCGGCGATAAAGGCGGTGAGAGGGATGGCAGGGAGGAGAGAAGGGGAAGTTGATGTGAGGAGGGTGATGGGGAGTTTTGTGGGGAAGTTGAGCTTTAGGGAAATGTGTGTGGTTTTGAAAGAACAGAAGAATTGGAATCAGGTTAGGGATTTCTTTGCTTGGATGAAGTTGCAGGTTAGTTTTTTCAGTTGGTTTTCTGCTACTTGTATGCTTCCTTTAGTTGTTAGTATTAGCAGTATTTTTCAGTTAAAAATTTTTCCAAATGATTACACTTAACATTGGAAATGCTAAACATAAGTCCAAATAATCTGGATAAGATGCATTAAATCTTGGCCCTTGCAGTTTGTATCTTTCACACACAATGTCATTATTTCTATCTTGCCATATGTAAACCTGACAATTTTAAACAACTCAGTGACACTATATAAAAACGAGATGAAAAAAGACACGAAAATGATATGGTTTAAAATTTTAGCGAAAACCTTATATAAGTTTGGTAAAAATAAAAGAAAAAATGTGTTTTGTGTTTGGCATGTTGACATGATTATGACATGATAATTTTCATGTTTTACACTTGTTAGACATGAAATAGACAGACATAGATATACAAATTGTCATATCTATCCCTATGTTTGGATTTGGACCATTTAGCACCTTCCAATGAACAAGCTAATACGACTTCAAATATATATTGTTTCCTATACAAGTAAAATATTGTGTTTTCCTATTAGAAAAATGTTAAACTTTTATGTTTTAGTTATTCAAAAATAGTTTAATACTTATGTTTGTATCTAAATACAGTATTTGCTTTTTGCTTCTAAAGGTATTATGTTTAGCTTTCTTAAAGATATGAAAAGTAATTATGTTGGTGTCTTCCAAAATGTGGACAATAATACATTGTAATTATAGACTTGTGTTTGAACAGTTGTGCTATCGCCCAAGTGTTATTGTTTATACAATTGTTTTGCGAGCTTATGGACAAGTTGGGAAAATCAAACTGGCTGAACAGACCTTCTTGGAGATGCTTGAAGCGGGATGTGAACCTGATGAAGTAGCTTGTGGTACCATGTTGTGTACATATGCTAGATGGGGACGTCATAAGGCTATGTTGTCCTTATATTCTGCTGTGCAAGAAAGGGGAATCACACTTTCAACTGCTGTTTACAATTTTATGCTGTCTTCTTTGCAAAAGAAATCACTCCATGAAAAGGTCATAGATTTATGGAGGCAGATGGTAAATAAAGGGGTGGCACCTAATAGGTTCAGTTATACAGTAGTAATCAACTCACTTGTTAAAGGGGACCTTTGTGAAGAGGCTTTCAAGGCTTTTGATGAGATGAAGAAACATGACTTTGTCCCCGAGGAAGCAACTTATAGCCTGCTTATTAGTTCGCACACTAAAGATGGTAACTGGCAGGAGGCACTAAGATTATATGAAGACATGAGATCCAGGGGGAATAGTTCCAAGCAACTACACATGTGCATCACTTTTAACTTTATATTATAAGAATGAAGATTATTCAAAAGCTCTATCTCTTTTTACTGAGATGGAAAGAAATAAAATTAGAGTTGATGAAGTTATATATGGTTTGCTCATTAGAATATACGGCAAACTTGGGCTTTATGAGGATGCTGCAAGAACATTTGAAGAGATTGATCGGCTTGGCCTACTTAGTGATGAGAAAACATATCTAGCAATGGCGCAAGTCCATCTTAATGCAGGAAATGCTGAGAAGGCTTTGGATATTATTCAAATAATGAAGTCTAGAGACATTTGGTTCTCAAGATTTGCTTATATAGTTTCATTGCAATGTTATGTCATGAGTGAAGATCTGGATTCTGCTGAAGTAACATTTCAGGCTCTAGCTAAGACTGGACTTCCTGATTCTGGTTCTTGCAATGACATGCTCAGATTGTATATTAGACTCAACTTGACAGAAAGGGCCAAGAAATTTATTGTCCAGATAAGGAAAGATCAAGTAGTTTTTGATGAGGAGCTTTACAGGACAGTTGTAAGAATATATTGCAAGGAGGGAATGCTAGAAGACATCGAGAGATTGACAAAAGAGATGGGTGCTAATGATTCATACAAAGATAACAAGTTTATTCAAACAATTTTTAAAGCTATGTGTGGAGAATACCTGGGACATCAGAAAGTTAAAGGCAATGTGGCCTCTGACCAACTTGACACCTCAGCTCTTGGATATTTACTTAGGCTCTATTTGGAATGTAAGGATTTCAGGAAAATAGAAGAAATATTGAAGTTGTTGCTTGAGACTGCGGGTAGCATGTCTGTATTAACTCAACTTGTTAGCAACTTTATGAAAGAAGGTAAATATTTGTTCATTATTGTAATAAATATATTTTTTATTAATTTATGGAAATTTTTTTTAATTTTTTTAAAGTTTGTCTATCTGTGCATCCAATGTGGAATTTAGGGTGGTGTGTTTCACTTGAGTGTTGATTTTGATTTCTTGAATAGGTGATATATCCAAAGTGAAAGCTCTTAATGGTCAAGTGGTCAAGCTATGTTGCAGTGTGGATGATGCAACAATTGCGTCTATGATTGGTCTATATGGGAAGGAACAGATGCTACAACAGGCCCAAGACATCTTCACTGCAGCCATGGATTCTCCCAATTGTGGGAACTTGATATATAACTCAATGATTGATGCATATGTTAAATGTGGTAAACCTGAGGCAGCATATTCACTGTACAAAGAAGCAATCAAGAAAGGGCATGATCTGGGAGCTGTTGCCATCAGCAAAGTTGTCAACTCTTTGACTAATTTTGGTATTAGTTTGTAACAATCCATAAGAGCTGCAAAATATTTCTAGTATTTCTGAGGGATCATCAGGTTATAGCATATGCTTTATATGAGAATCTTCTAAGTAATTCACAAATAATTATCCACTATTAAGAATTAACTGCTAGCATGTAATCATTTTGGGTTCAAAATTCATTGCTTATAATGTCTCTAAAGTTTTAGTAAATTTATATTTAAAAGGCCAGCTATTGTTGATAACAAATGATATCAGATGATACGTCACTGTGAAGAAACTTCAATGATTTATCGTAAGAGCTAGACCATACAAGTGTCTTTGAAATTTACTTTGTAAAGCTGAAGAGTGTAACAATGGTTGGGATATTTTTTAGAGACCCTTTTTGTTTTCAAAAATTTATTCAGTTTTTTACCATTTATTGCCAATTAGTTTTAAAAGATTATAATCTAGTGATAGTTTGCTGGTGTGCTCATCTAAAATGTGAAGAAATCTTATGGTTTTTTCTGTTGTTTCTTGGTTTAATATGCTGTTGTCTCTGATATACTGTGTCACTTTCAATGAGTAACACGAGCAATCTTTCCCCAGGAAAATATCAGGAGGCGGAAGAGATGATACGATTGAATTTTCAGGACAATTTGGTACTTGATACTGTAGCATACAATACATTTATCAAGGCAATGCTAGAAGCAGGTTGCTTAAGACATCCTTGATTCACTGCACGTAAATGTATCCCACAGGTCAAAGCTAGCAATAATTAGTTAAAACTTTGCAGGTAAATTACATTTTGCAACCAGCATTTATGAGCGTATGCTTTCCATGGGAGTTCCTCCATCAATTCAGACATTTAACACATTGATTAGGTAAGGGGTTAACCAATGAGAAATAATTTATCAATGACTGAATGTTGATGTGACAGTTGCAGTCTGGTCATTTCCTGATGCAGTGTGTATGGACGAGGTTGCAAGCTGGAGAAGGCAGTGGAGATGTTCAACATGGCTCACAGCTTGGGCATGACTCTGGACGAGAAGGCATACGTGAATCTTATTTGCTATTATGGGAAGGCTGGTAATTGTTTATTTCTTATATGTGAAGACAATTTGGCAATATTAATTAGAAATATTATACCAATGGCACTTTATTTTTGACTCAAAACACTTTATTCCCTGAACTTTTAACTTCTAAGACATAAACCCTGATCATTTCAAAAGGTTATGGAGTCATGCCTACTGTGAGGATCTGTTCAAATGATAAAAAAGAAGTTGCTTGAAAGAATCAAATGGTAATCATATCAATTTCTCTTGATTTCTTTTTCTAATTTTTCCTTTCTCCCCAAACTTCATCCTCTCTCTTCTTCCATTGCCTCTGCCCTTTTCCTTCTGTCACTCTTGCTGCCAGTTTATGGTCTTTTAACTTCCATCCTTACTCCTTCCAGAGAGGGACATTATTGCTGCTTATGATAGTTTTATCAAGTTTTTCTTATATAGTGGTAGAGTTATCTTAGATTTGATTGGCTTTAAATTTGATGTATGTCTTATGTTAACGTAGTAGCCGGAATTAGAGGTGAAGGGGCTAGAGTTCACTGTCATGAATCTTTAAAAGCTTTTCTTATGTTACCAAAGTATCTAATTTCATAGCACACATTAAAAGTGATAGCAGCTTGCTCATTGAAGACTTTTTAAAAGGCACTGATCGCTCTTGAAATAGATTGCTATATTATTTCTTGGGTTTTTCCTGGATTGCTACACATTTTTATGACATTAAGAAAATCAATGAAGACATTGTCATTTCCAGTACTTTGTCTACTCTTTAGCAGTTTGTGGAAACATAGATGATATATACTATGAAACAATCAGGTGCTGAATGTCATTGGCTGTAAAGGCTGTAATGGAAGTGCTGGCCAAATTCACCTTGAATGGCATTTATGATGATATATGTCTGATTATTGACTTAATCTGCTAGATATTCTGGTCAGCAGTTAGATTTTGTTGTTTCTGTTCACAGCATCACTAGTTTAATTGTTTTCCAGGTAAGAGGGATGAAGCTTCCTCATTGTTCACTAAAATGCAAGAAGAAGGGATAAAACCAGGAGTGGTATGTTTATTCCCTGTTGAGAAAGTATAAGGAAACTAGAATAGATACCTAAGTACCATTTGGTTGCTAATAATGTCTAAGGATGATTGTTAGCCTGGTTTATTCATTACTTTGGCTCTTTGGCCACCTGATTGAAGCATGGGACACCACATGAAAACTGTGCAACTGTGTGTCGCTATGTATGTTTGTGTATGCAATTTACTATATTTGGCATTAGAAATGATTATTTTAAAAATTTTAGAAATGACATCTTTCAATTCAACAATACATTCTGGCCAAAAAAAACTCAGCACCATATTAGGTAGGCCATGTTTATATTCTTGTTTCTTGTCAGAGTCTCCCATTGTTATGATCATATTGTAGAAGGATGGATTTTTGCCTCAGATGCTGTAGAGGCTCTGCAAAATGATAGCATGGTACTGGCTGCTTCTTTTGATTTTGTTACTTTCATATTTGATACACATTGTTTTGAGGAACTTTAAGCATAAATTATACATGTTTAGTATTGATGTTGGACAGATTTTTGGCTGGTCAATTAGGGATTTTTGGGTTACAGCTATGGTAGAGATTAGAAGGGTTTAGGAACAATAAGGGTTTAATTAATTGAGATTCGATCTCAAAACTGGTAATTTGAGGGTTTTGGCTGGTAAGGACTGATATAAAAATAGGGCAAGAATTAGGGGTTGGAAAGTATATGGAATTGGATTTGGGTTACAAAGGGAAGAATATGCAAGCACAAAGGAAGAGGCTGCTTGCTGTGAATGGTAGGGCAATTGTACTGTATTATGGGGAAAGAGAGTGATAGAGAAGAGGAAAAATTTTAAAAGGAAGCAGAGCATGATATCTTCCCAGGTATACATGCCTCAATAAACCAAAGCTCTCCTTATTTGATTGATTGAAGCTACATAGGTGTTTAGATGCATTTACTGCTCCTAAACCTACTAACAAAAGGGTGCCTAATTGGAAACTAAAACAAAACTAACCTGAGCTTCAAGAAAATAACCTAAACTCTTAGAAACTCCTAAAAGATTGACCAAACAGAACAATTAACCAGCAGCATAACTAACCGTAGGGCATGGAAATTAGCTGAAATTAATATCCTGCCTTTGAACCCTAAAATACAGAAAAGTCATGATAGAAGATCCTGAATTCCTTAAATTGAAATTAAATGGAAAAAGAGTACTAAATTAAGGTCATAGTGTATCTTTTAATTCTGAATTTTAGATAACAATTTTACTTAATGAGCCATTGATCTACTCTTTTGATGCTTACTGTTGCCTTTTCTGGGGAAATGCAGGTAGGCTACAATATTATGATCAATATATATGCTAGTGCAGGACTATGTGACGAAGTTGAGAAACTTTTTGAAGCCATGCAGAGAGATGGTTTCTCTCCTGACTCCTCCACCTATCTTTCCCTTGTTCAGGCTTATACTGAGAGTTTGAGATATGCAGAAGCGGAGCAAACTATAAGTACTATGAGAAAAATGGGCATACCCCCAGCTTGTGCTCATTTTAATCATTTATTGCATGCTTTTGCAAAAGTAGGGATGATGAGCGAAGCAGACAGAGTTTATAAGGAACTAATTGCAACTGGTCTAAGTCCTGACCTGGCATGTTACCGCACCATGCTAAGAGGTTACATTGATTATGCATTGGTTGAAGAAGGCTTAAACTTTTTTGAGCAGATCAGGGATACTGCAGATCCAGATAGGTTTATCATGAGTGCAGCTGTGCATATTTACAAGCATGAGGGAAAGCAACCTGAAGCTAGAAGTGTTCGTGATTCCATGAATAATTTAGGGATCCCATTTTTGGAAAACCTCAAAGTTGGATCCAAGATGAAAACCTCTTGATTTTTAATGGTATCATTTCAGTACGATGCTTCGGGTTCTGAAATTCGCTTCATTTTTAGCTGATACCTAGCTTTTTTCATCTATGGAAGAAGGCCATTATTTACTAGGTTATATTACCCTTCGTTTTGTTTTCCTTTTCCTGCCTCAGATTTGTTTTGTTTTTTTGCTTTTTTTTTTCACTTGGTTCTCCCCAGAAATTGGTTCGTACTGCTTCTTTCATGTAGGCAAATAGATTTGTTTGACTTTACAAAATCATGATTTTGTTGTCCAAAATTACTACCGGTTATTGCATCTGCATATTTGCCTTTGTGTGGTCATGAAATGTTTTTAAAGCCTCATGATTTTTGTATGTTTTTTATTATACATATCACCGGGAGGATAATCAAATTCAAAACTGAATTCTTGGCAGTGTATGACATTTGTCTCTGTGCTGACTCGAAAGGAATGAATTCTGGCCTCGACATTGTTGCCCAATATTGAGTAAGGAATTGAAATATGGCTTGAAGAAGTGAGCTAAAAGAATGACTTTGCATCATTCTGGACTAATTGAGGCTGAGATCACATCTTATCATTTCCTTGTGACAACTATAATTGGCATGGAAGTTGAAATCTCAGGTTTGTGTACTTAAATAAACATCTCAATTTGTCCAAACCGTCATTTTAATATAATCTTTCTATTTATTCTCTTTAGCTTGGAAATATATATTGTCTAATCATCTTTTTCTACTTGAAAATCTCTTGGTCAATGGTATTAGTTGTAAATAAAATTTCCTTATTGTCAACTGTCACTTAAAATAAGAGAAAAAAGGATCAGTTTCACATAAACTTTAACCTGTGGCATCTGAAAAAATACACAGAGAAATGGACTTTCTTTTTAATGCCAATGACATCTGGTTAGTTTAGCAGCTGTAGAGAAGCAAACATGCACTGTCACTGAAAACAAAGGTTAGAAGTCGACAATAATTGATGACTGTATAGACTGAAGTCCATTTGCCAACCAAACATAAGTTTTGTCATTAAGGATCTCACCAGATATTTGCAAACTGGGGATCTCAAGATAGATCAATCATTTGGCCTTTGATTAGTCTGAGTCATGTGTCACTCAGTGATGTTGTAGACATGAGAAGAAACCTAAGAGGATTTCAAAGCAGTTGGTTATCTCTACTGCTGAAATGACTAGACTTTGGAGTGTTGGTTGGATCTCTCCACCAATTACTTTAACCTCTTGAACAGAATTAAGCTTTAATATTCCTTTTTAGTTCTAGAAGCCACAGCATGAACACCCATACATGCATGCATATACACATCACATCAAGAGTTCACCATATGTCCAGGCTAGTGGTTTTTGTCCACCTTAAAATATGATTTTTTGAGTGTTTCTATTGCTGCCAATTTTACTGCATCCTGTGATGAAATGAAGATTTGGTGAATTTCTTTGTGCATGTTTGATATTGGACATCACTCTAAAGTCTCAATTATTTTCTTATATAAATATCTCCAATACAGCTTCCGGCATGCATATAGGATGTAGGAGTTAAATCCTTTCAGATTTCATTTTATTGTAGGCAATTGAAGGTTTCCTTTTAAAACTACCTTTGCAGCCATAATTGAACAGCAACAAACAATGGTAATCTGCTCCTTTGAACTGCCAAGTGTTGTAAGTCTTGAAGATATGGTGAGGATGTTATTCTACTTTTGTTGTAAATAAAACAAAATCAAGATTTTTATGTGCTTGAATATTTATCTTTTCAATTGGTTGATTAACATGAGTTTTTCTTATATGTGGGTTTGATATTTCTTTCTTTCTATTGATTATTTACTTTCTTTTCTTGTCCCCCTTCCTGTTATGTTGATGATTGTTCCTTTTGTCCTTCAACAGAGGGAACATTTCTGGTTGGTGATGTTAGCAAAGTAAGGTAAAGAGATTAAAGTAATAAAGGGGAAAGCATAAAGTATTGCACAGACTCTTATATAACAATGTTCAAAAACTAACTTTGATGGAGTCATATAACAATGCTTTATGCTTTATGATGTTCAAGAACATCATCCTCAAGTTGTAAGTCATATTTGTTTAATAGTGATCTTAAGTTCAATGTCTTTGATTTTGTTGTTATGCCATCCATGTATGTTACCTCTTGCATTGCCTGCTTGATTTTCCTCTCCTTCAAATTAATTGAATTTTATTTCTTGCCTAAGAAAAGGATGGTGCTAATGAAGCATGAAATTGTTTGTACTACTAGCTTTATGATACTCTTGCATGTTGCTTTAAGTTAGATGTGGTAATTTTAAAAACAATATGGTTAAATGATATGAAAACCATATACAAAAAAAAGGCATTTATAAATTTGGCAAAAGAAAAAAAAAACATATATATATATATTATGGCGTGATAATACGAATTATAACACGATAATTTTTATATTTTAAATATATATTTGAAGGTAATGTTTTACCGTGATGATAAGATTATCAGAGTAATTTGATTATAAATGATCTTACACTCATATTTGGTATAATATTATAAATAACTATTTTTTGTATTACATTAAAAAATCAAGTACAAAATATTTAAAATAACTTTTAAAAAATAAAAAAAATTAATATTCATTGAATGAATAATTTATGAAATAATGATGTCATTTTATAGAAAATTATAAAAGTATATATTAATTTTGATGAAAATAATTTTTGAAAAGCTATTAATAAGTAAATTTATTATCTTTTTCGGTAGTAGTTAAAAAATGTACAATAAGTTATCAAATGAATTAAGCCAACGAATTAAAACTTGATTACTCAATTCATTAAAAATTTTAATTTATATTAAAAAAGAAACAATTTAATTGAAATTTATGGATAAATATAATTGGATTAGTTTTTTTTATTGTAATTAAGAAAATCTTAATGATATATATCGAAAGGATGGCTCTATATTATAATTTTAATATTATATAAGAACTCATAATATTTTGTTAACTTTAATTGTATAAACTTTTTTGTTAATTGAATTAGTCATATCCTTTTTTGCAGTATATCTGCCTTCTTGCCGATGATAGTATATGGAGTTGCAAACTTGCAGTTGTATCAAAGTAATTCTCTGCAATAATTCGTTTACAATACGTTATCAATATAATTTTTAATTTTATAAGCAAAATTAAAAAGAAATCACATCATATGTTTATTTTAAAATTATTTTTTATTATATTTTAAAGATATGTGTCACCTTATTAGATTAATGGTGGAGTCTAAAAATTTTATTAAAAATTATGAATTCTCAATTTGTTTTTTATTATCCATAAATTAAAATAGTAGTATACAATTTTGGCTTTATTTATTTATTTTTTTGGGAAACAGAATTTGGGCTTTGTTTTTGTTGAACTATTTCTGAATTGAGCTCAACATCCATCGACGAAAATTGAGCCCAGCTATCTTTCTCTTTGGACTAACTAAGGCGCTCTAATCATTCTTTCTCTCTTTCCAATTCCATCACCGAGAAAGACCAGGGAAAATAAGTTTAAAAAATGGCGTACTCGGGTGTTCTCAAAACCCTAATCAGATCATCAAATTTGGGATCTACGACTCGTAATATCAGTCTTGTCGGCAGCCAAATCAGCAATCACACTGCCAAATGGATGCAGGTATTTATTCCCTTTTTTTATTTTTTTAAAAAATTTCTGCTGAATTTTTGTGGAAGATTAAGGTTAATTTTAGGAATTTTATGGGTTTTATCTGAAAGTATTAGTAAAAAAGTAAAAATTAGAATAAATTTGATTTTTTTATTCTGGCTTTTCACATTCTTTGTAGAATTTGATGAATTCAGTTATTAGGGTATTGACTTACTAATATGTTTGATTTCTTTGATTATTTACTTTTTTTGGCTGCTAACAAACTTAAATTTTAATTATCCGACCAGAAAAAACAAAAACAAAAACAAAATTTTGGAATATTTTACCTTTTCTTTTTTAAATCACTAAAATGTGTAAAATCAACTTTAGAATAGGGATTATTAATGGATTATCTGGTTATTTGTCCTGAAACTGCCTTATATTTTCATTGTTTTTTATGCTAAACTCTGATATATCCAACACGTCAAATCCCTTTTGATCTTGGCCTTTATAGTTACTAGAAGAAATTCAATTTTCAAGTAGATGACCTGTGTTTGTTTGTCAAGTGTTTTACCTCCTGTTTGGGGTTCTGAATTATTTGAAGACGTGCTGGCAGATTGTAGTGACGATTGTGTAAAAGAATCAAAGCAACATGAAATGAATTCAGCACTGATTACATGGTTATAAACAAAGTAGAATGCTTTGCAGAGGTTGTTGGCTTGTGCCATTGCATATTTGATATCTGTTTCCCATTGATTTAGTACTTCGATTTAGAGAAGACGTTCAAATTTTGAATAGCCTCGATCTGTTGAATTTTTGGCACCTTCTTATTTTCCTCTTTCCATTAGGGTACTGATTTTGGTTATTTGCCTTGAAGATTTTGATGAGGCAGTGATACTCGTGATTCCCTTTCAAAGCTTCTTTAAGATTGTCTGCCTGGTCAATGTCTTTGATACTGATTTAGTATTTTTAGTTTTGAATAGATGCATCACATAGACAGTTTGTTTGCATTTTTGATTTCATGGCTATTACGCTTTAATTGTACTGCTTGTTCCTTTAAATGTATGCATAAATACCTTGTTACATAGACATGGGTGTGCATCCCAATAAGGGTGCCTCATGTTTTTGGCGTTTTTTTAATTATTTTGTTATTCCTATAAAAGTTCAAATTTTCTAAAAAATATGGTGTATGTTGGGGGTAAAGTCAAGTCCGTATAACATGGTACATGCCCTATCAAACATAACAATAAAAACATGTCAATTAAATGATTGGCACTTGCCTCCGAAAATGGAAAGAAGGAAACGAAGTGAAGATTAAAATAGAGTATGTAATTTTGAATGTTCTACTTTTCTTTCCAAATTTGCAGGATACAAGCAAAAAATCTCCAATGGAGTTAATAAATGAAGTTCCTCCTATCAAGGTTGAAGGCAGGATTGCAGCTTGTGAAGGAGGTTATTGTCTGATCCTTATTTTTGTTTACACTTTGCGAACAAGCTGCTTAACAGATGAATTATGTACTAGTACAATAAGTTACTTAAAAATCATATTTCATAAAAATGAGCAAATTGCTAAGATGCGTTACTAACAGATAGTTATTAAATAAAAGTGAAATCATGCATTTTGGTATATATGAAAGTTTAATTTGTCAAAATTTTGCTTTTGCTAACAAGTTAAAACCAAACAAATCGTAAATAAGAGGATATAATCTACATAGGTTGCTTGAATTTTCTTTCTGATGCTCACAACAAGTTTTCCTGGTCTCTGTTGTTTCTGGTGGTAGACAATAATCCTGCTCTCGGACACCCAATTGAATTCATATGCCTTGACTTGAAAGAGCCAGCAGTATGCAAGTATTGTGGCCTGCGCTACGTTCAGGAGCACCATCACTAGAAGTGTTGTGATGTTTTTATCAGGCTATTCGGGTAATTGTTAGTATGCAGTACCCAATGCACTCTTCTCTGTTTCAGCCCTTCATAACAAATTCGAAATACCGAATTTGACGTTTCTTATTTTAACCCTAATGTCAAGTTTCCTATTTGCATAATTGGGTTGGTATCTCATATTTCTCAACTTGAGTTATTGTTTTCTTATTTCAATAAAATTCAAATTTATATTAGTGAGGCCCAATGATCAGGGCATAGCATATCTCTCATGGAGGCCTTATATTAGTGAAGAATTGGGTTTGATCTAAAATCACTTGTTACGAGTTCATATTTCTAACCCAAAATACATGATTATTAGACGGAGAAAAAACCATAATTTGTAAGTGCAAGATTTCTCCTCTTTCTGATAAGGGATTAGCGACACATGATATTTTGGCTTTGACAGAAATTTTTTGTTGAAGTGGAGGATTCTATCCTTTGTGCTGATGTGTAAGAATATGAATCTATTTAAAGAAATCAAAATAATAATAAAAAAAATTCCTGAGAGGATACAACAACATGTTTCCATATTTTAGTTTTTCGACAGAACTGATGATGCTTCCTTTTTAAGTATTTGCCAAATTGGTATATCTCAGATTTTCTTTCATCTTCTGACAGATTATAACCAACGGCACACCTTCTATGATGGATGTTAATTCATTGAGAGTTGCAAAACCATAACATTTCCTGAACACTTGGTATAAAAAGCAAGGCACTTATTCACTCTCTGAAGCTCATTTCACTTTTTAAGATAACAGTTATGGCGGAGGATAGCCATGTGAACTGTGGAAACAAATTGAACAGATGCACCCATGAATAACTTAAGCATCCAATATATTTGAACCTCCGTTGGATGGGGAAAAGAATGATTGAATTATGCCCTAAGCTAAAAAATTAAAAAAAAAAAATTGGGCCTGCTAATCAGAGCTAAACTAACAGCCATGGCCAAAATTTGCCACCTGAGAGTGAATTCAGCAAGAAATAAAAAATAAATCGGACGCCATCTCCGTCTGCACCTGCCAGTTTTCTTCTCTGTTGATGTTTTGCAACCTTATAATCCACCACTTCGCGAAATAGGGTTGGACCAGGCACAAAATTTCACTCCCATAAACAGTTGCCTGAAAACTAGCCATCAGTTTGGCTATTTCCCTTCCAGAAAATCCTTCAGATTTGACTGCAGCTTCTCATAAGAGGTCATCAGTCAGTCCCTTGATCTCAATCTTCTGCTGCTGCTTTCTGAAAATATGTTGAAGCATAGCAAATTTTCTCGAGCCAGCCTGAGCTATGTACCTTGTCCAGATAAAGCACTAGCATTTTGAAGCGTTCGTCTTCCCCGGGCAACGGGAATTCCAATACTTCATCAATACGATCAGCCACGGCTGAATTAAGATCACCAGGACGCTTTGTAGCGAGGGCAAGGACTATATCCTCGGACTGGTCACCTGTGCGGAAAAGAACGTTTGTTTACCCAGAATGAGAAAAAAAGAAAAAGAACAAATCGTGTCATAAAGCAAATTTCCTTTATAATTAGACGAGGGATTTTTATTTTTTTTTATCATACAAAAGAAATTGGTTAACTTTTATACAAACTTGAGCTCCTAGAGACATCATGATCGAAGGTTTGTGATACCTAATCAACAAAAGGAAAGGTAAAAGATAGCACAACATCTTGAATCAAATTATTATGGTAAAATTGCCCAACGGGAAAATCATTCAACATTTGAACTAAATGGTGCCACTTACTCGCACAAAGACGCATCCGCTTCATCAATGAACAGCAACGAGCCCCTCTTGGACTTCTTTGCCCAGTCGAATGACTGGTGTATCTTCGTAGCAGCCTGTGGTCCCAATGGATCGACATCTCCACCTGTCATCAATGCCTAATCTAACCCCTGAACATTAATAAAACATCGGAGAATGAAAACAAATGAACAAAAAAGCATAATATTTCAAACATTTGTAATGAATGATGTTAAAGTTGCATACAAACATATGAGACCGACAATCACCAGCTATCGTCCCAGAGATACAAAAACTTATCCTATTTGATTCCCTTCCATAACTAACCATAGATAGATGCTTAAAAGTACATTGCATTATGGTTCATACACTTGAACGTATGCCCAAAGTCCAATATTCTGACTGAGCTGAATCCAAAAGATGGTCAAAGAACCAAAATATGCATTTTTTAAAAAATAAAAATTAACATTCTTTCATAATACAGACATCTTTTGCAAAATAAAACATGTATAAATGCTAGCAATAAATGGCACAATTAAGGTATAAGAGATCATAGAGATTTACGAGCCAGTTCTCTTGCAGCCATGGTTTTTCCTGTTCCTGGAGGGCCACAAAAGAGCATGTTCCTAAATGGTGCTTGGTGGGCTTTAGTATTGGCAGTTGCACCAGCTAGCTGCTGAGTTCGTTTTTGAAGAGAAGTGTGTAAAATCACATCACCAAACCCATTTCCATTTTTTGAAGGTGATATTTTATTGCCACTGTGTGATAGAGAGCTCATGGCACAGGAAAAGATGCCAGACCAAGGATACTTCCCTCTGGAAGATTCTCTGATAAGTGATGGCTGTCCCAGTATCCTATACACGTAGCCCCAAATCACCCTTGCACCTTCTCTGCATCAGAGGGGTGGCAAATGCATAAGCGATTACGCTCACAACTGTGACAAATGAATAAATTGACAATTAACAGTGGCAAATTTTGATAAAAGAATAAAATGATGCACAGGGATAGAATGTAACTTCATCAATAGTTTGAATACAAGTCTTCCAGAAAATACAGAGAGAACACAAAGAACTCTTAAGGAAGCTTTACATCTAAAAATATTCACAAAATTTTTCCTCCCATTAGCTAGAACTCTGGGCAAAGAAATAGTTATCCCCTAAACCCATTCATTTAAAAAAAATATAGAAGAGTAATAATTAGAAAAGAGGCAGGATACAATGAATGATTCTTTGGTTCAAAATTTGTGAGGCTATACTAGCAAAATAATACCAAAAAAAATAGTGAGGTAATGAATGGCATACACCCAACCTTATGTTGGAAGGAATATTCCAATTTATGAATGGCATACATATGCACATGTCACGGATTCAGATTCAAAGTCTCGTGTAATTTCAAGATCTGAGAATGGATTCATTCGATGTCCTAAATCAATTTATTTGTTATGGTTCACACAACTAATGAAGTATTGTCACGGTTCACACAACCTGTAAACCAAGCTCGTGCAACTTCAAAACTCGAGAATTGACTCATCTGACGTTTCAAATCAGTTTATCTGTCACAGTTCAATTTATGAGGTATTGTCACGGTTCACACAACTTATGAGACATTGTCCGCTTCGACTTCTCTTGACCTCATAAGTTGAAAGTGATGTGAATTCTTATGTTTCATGATCTAATACAGATCGAGACTCAAACTCTAATCTTGCGTAGCATCTCAAATTAATCTATCTATCATGATTCACATAACATATCTATAAGAGATCGAGACTTAAGCTTCAAATTTGTACGGTTTTAAGATCTAAAATGGACTCATCCGACGTCTTAGAAGGTTAACATAACTTGTGAAATATTATTCATTTTGATTCTCTCTTAATCTCATGGCAAATTAAAGGTAATATGAATTATTATATCTTAAATTTTAATACAAAATTGATATAAAATTCATAACTTCTCTCTAAAACCATAACACACACTTAACAAAATGCATTTAGAGTGTAATTAAACTTCCAGGTTTTGAGTGGTAAGTCCTAACTTGTTTTCTCAGTTCAAACTTAAAAGAACCAATTTCTTTCACAAATTCCTAGGTGGTGTTTCCTATCATTTGTCCTTACCAAAAGAAAACAATATCTAGAAATGGAGTTTTTTCTAAACTCCTGGAAGATATATTTTGTGTGAGATCTCTTCAAAAAACCACAGTCTAATAGAGAACTTAACAGAGACTTCAAAATATATGAGAACTAGGTACCCGCAGCATGAGAATTTTGTGAGGCTTTCAGTTAGACTAGGAAAAGCCAATCCCAAGGGTAAAGGAACAGAACTGTAATCATTGCTAGTTACTTTTGTTACAAGTTACTACAATGTTTTGTAAAAACAAAAAAAAGAAAAAAGAGGGTATTTAAGCAAAGCAAATTTGAACCTCTTTAAATCAGAAACAAGACATTATTCAAGAAAAATAATTAAATCTATATGGACACAAGAACATTTGAGGCACTGAATTGATTTAATAAGCTTCTCGAAGACAATTCACCAACACCTCCAACATATACATGGCAAAAAGACACAGAAAATACAAATCTTCAGGCAAAATCCATCATTTACCTGGTAGTGTAAATGCCTGCTGCAAGAGCAGTCAACCGTCCAACAGCCACAATCAGCTTGTTTTGACCTGTTAAAATGGCCCGCAAACCACTCAGACAGAAAGATTTTGTCCAATTAAGCCATCCCTTCTTAAGCAGTAAAAGATAAACAAATGGGACTTAAACAACACATCAACGTCATCATTGAGCTGAAATTCTATTCAGACCAGCAGAAGAATAAATTATTAAATAAACAAATAAGTGACCCCACTGTAGTTAGTATGACAACAAAACATAGAAGCAACAGGTTAATTAGTGCCTCGATTTTCTTCCACTAGGTTAGATTATACAGAAACTATACAAGATAGAGAGAAAGGCATCTGCCTCCTTTCCCCTCCATAACAAATGTACAATCTTTTTAAAGTTATGGCTAAATTTGAACAAAATGTTAAACATGAGAATTTCATTTTCAGAATTTAGCTATTTAAAGTTTCCTACAATGAGTGAGTGCATATTATTGAATTGATGCCTCCAATATGGTCAAAAGTAGTATTTATCACAGCAACCTATTTTTCTCCTTCTGCATTTGCATGATCTAAGAGTATGTACCTATTAACTTCTTCAGCAAGCTTTGCTTCATGGGCTCTCCCTTCTGCTTCTGCCATAGCTCTCACTCTGATTGTTTCACGTTTGATCTCAGCTTTTTCCCTCTCTGTTCGTCGTCGCTGTGCTTGAATCTGTTCTTCTGTGGATCGCTGAGTTTGCTCCTGTCTAATGGCTGATTCCTCCTGCAGTTTTACCAGCTCTTGATTCCTTGCTCTTTGGTTTTCATTTTCTGCCTAAAATAGCATAAAACATTTACATTCTTTTCCTTATATG